TACTGTTGCACACGTAGTACTGTAGCACACGTAGTACTGTTGCACACACAGTACTGCAGCACACTTAGTACTGTAGCATACACAGTACTGCAGCACACATAGTACTGTAGCACACGTAGTACTGTAGCACACAGTACTGCAGCACACGTAGTACTGTAGCACACGTAGTACTGTAACACACGTAGTACTGTAGCACACATAGTACTGCTTCACACGTAATACTGTAGCACACGTAGTACTGTAACACACGTAGTACTGCAGCACACATAGTACTGTAGTGCACAGACAGACGCTACACCTTGGAATTGGAGGTTAGCACCATTGTCTTCTAGAACCCCCTCTAGGCTAATCCTCTTCTTCCCAGTGAAGTCAAGTTAACCTTCTAGAAAATTTTCTAATTCTGTGCCTTTCTTCTGTTTAAATGTCTTTAAGGCACACCCCTTTGTCTATAATGAGAGATGGCAAGCAGACCAAACCCATCCTATTGTATTTTAAAATAAAGTATTATTGAAACATAGCTCTATGTATTGCATTTTGTATGATCTCTTCCCAATTTTGCATTATAATGGTGGCACTGAATCATTGCCTCTGACAGCATATGGCTATAAAGACAGAAGTAATTACAGAGAAAGTATGCCAACCTTGTCTTACGAAGGGCAGGTCAAGCATGGTGGCAGCAGAGCCCTGCCAGTTTATCTCCAATCCACCTGACTAGTCTCAGTTCCATTCAGGTTTGACTCTGCCATTTATGGGGCTCAGCACAAAATGAAAATGTAAGGGCCCCTGTTCAAAAAAGAGTCCAAAGTCTTTTCCTTTTATTACCTAGATTGTCACTCTCTGTCTGTCATGGGATTTATTTGTTTGTTTATGTGTAAGTATATGTATGTGTGTGTGGTGTATGTGCAGGAGGACAAAGGGTGCTCTGTTCTGTCATTCTCTGTTACATTCCCTTGACACAGGGTGTCCCACTAAAATTGGACCTGGGTTAGCAGCCAGAAAGCTCCAGTGATCCTCCTGTCTCTGTTCCCAAGCGGGTTACAGCTGTGCATCTAGATACACCCTGATTTTCTACATCTGTGCTGGGGATTTGAACTCAGCTTCTCATGTTTTTACAGCAATTGCTCTTACCTATAGAGTCATATCCTCAATCCTCATGGTTGCTTTTTAATTTACTATTTAATTTTGAGGGAGACAGATTGAATGAGAACGTTCATGGGGTATGCTAGTCTTTCCAGGGACCTGGGAGTTACCCCAAAGTTTTGAGAGATTTGACCCCATCCTGCATCTTGGTACCTGACTTTGAATATCCTGGAAGTTATAACTCAGCCAGTCCCTTTCCAAGGTGGAAGTAGAGGATGGGGGCAAGAGCCCATCCTAGGGCAGCAGAAATGGGAAGAAGGCATTGATGGATTCATGCTCTAATATCCTAGCCTTTGCTTGATGCCTCACTGTGCTCTTTCTAAAGCAAGTTCTAACCTAAAATTGCTAAGGAGTTCAAGAGAGTGACCCTATGTATTCAGCTGTACCCTATGTAATACAGCTAGGCACAGTACTCTGGGGAGCCATGGTGGGTACTCATACTGGCATAGCCAGCTCTACTGCCCTCACTCTGCCAACCTTGGTACCCAGACTCACTCAGATTGCTCAACTGCCTGTCTTTGTAGCATATCCCATAGGTGTTTTCTTGCAACAGATAATAATTTCAAGGACAGACATAATACTAATTTACACAGGTTCTTTGGGACATAAATTCAATCTTAAAAATATTTAAGTATTTTATTCTTTGACCTTTTCTTGACTTTGGGTACATAGGGTCCAAGGATAGACATCAACTGATGGGCCTCAACACAGAAAAGGCTCAAAGTAAATATGACAGAAATAATATTTCATAGTGACAAGTAAAAAGTTAGAAGTTATTATCAATTTCATAATAATTAGTACCTATGGTCTATAGTCCTTGTACAAACTGTCCTTCTTTTAGATGATAGAACAAACCCGTGATATTATTAATATCTAAGCAAATGTTTGAAAAGACAAGCAATGAGAAAGGGTTTGTACCTAGAGAAATGAAGTGGTACTATTAGCATCTATGATTCACTATTCTCACAATGGTGGACATACACCAAAGGAACAGACACAACAAGCTTTCATAATTAATAAATCTCCATGTCATTATTTGTGAGCTGGTGGCCCAAAGAAAAATATGACTACATACACACACCAGTCATACAAAAAAAGTACTATACACACTTGCTTCTCCCAGGGAGATCTTTCAGAATGGGAGATTCGGCTGCCTTTATACTTTAGCCCCTTATAGAGCCAAGCAACACTGAATGCTGGTGGGGTGACCAAACTCTGTGGTTTATTTTCTGGTCAATGCGTTTGAAGATAAACCTGCAGTAGTCTTAATTGGACGCATTACAGAAATGTAGAAAAAACACACAAACTCTCAGCCCAAATTGTCTTCACTTTCAGATGAGGATAGAGTCTAGTACCAAGGAAGACTCAATACTCATGCTTGGAGGACAAACACTGGGGAGGCAGCTCATATCTGCTACAGCCTTCTTTCTGGATAGTGTACCCCTGGAAGGCAGGAGGCTCTCAGATTAATCAAACAACCAATGCCCAGAGAGAGCTTCACCAATATTTGCTCCAAATAAATAACTCAGAGGACAGAAGACATACTTTTGTAAAATACACCTGAAATTTTGTAGAGCATCTGTTGTCACGTGCCACATGGATGACTGACGAGAGCTGACGTGCTTTGAAAGGAGAGGAAGAACTGGGAAATGCTGGCAGTTTAGTAACTGAAAAGATCCACTAATGTTCCTTTCATCTTTTGCGGGGGTTGATGCTTATTACAGGATGGTAGAAACCACACCACAAGACCTGAGCTTTTTCTGGTTAACCTTCACAACTTGAGAACATTTAATTTACGCTGTACTTGTACTCGCTGTCTGTAGGGTGAGGTGGGAGAGGTGTTGAATGATAGACGACCAAATACAAATCCACTCTGACCAGATTCTGCAATCCTTCTCCCCAGGGATGCTTGCCTGGGGGCCTTTAGTTGAGGAGAAAAATGGCATGTGCATGTGTGCACTGCGAGGTGGGGAGTGTGAGTGGAGTGGAGGCATGAACATTTGCTAGGGAGAAGATATGGAGGTCAGAGGACAACTTGTGGCAGAGCGGCTTTCTCAAAGATTAAACTCAGGTCATCAGAATTGACGGCAAGTGCCTTTACTTGCTGACTCTTCTTTTTAGCTATTGTGTGCCATCTCTGGTAGAAATCTCACTTCTACTCTCTGCTTCCTACCTTTCCAAGTCTACCCTGCTTTTAAGTAACAACAACAATAATAATAACAGCAATAACAAATTTGTTATTGAGACAAGGCCTTATGTAGCCAAGACTGGTTTCAAATTTAAAATGAAGGCTAGAAAAATATTGTATGCCATTGGCTCTGAACTACATGTGCTCTGAATGGACTTTTTTCTGAGGAATGATAATACGATGGTGGTAGGAATGTTCAGTCACTCTAGTGATCCTTCCTAGAAGAAAGATCGTACCTAAAATTCACATGCATGGGGACATGGAGGCTGAGTTCCAAATGGACCTGCTTAGCTCAAGACGCCAAAGCCCTTTTTCAAGACTTGAAAAATGGTTCTAGAGATATCAGTAGTCAGTGTTGATTATTTTCTTTTTATAATATGACTATTTCTTTGCCCTTATATTTATTGTGATTTTTTGCATATCTTTATTATTATTTTTTTTACAAATAGTATATTTGTAAAACTATACTAATGCTGGTTTTTATT